AAAAAAAAAGGGGGGACAGCCAAAAAAATTTTTGCTTGGGGCGGCAAAAATCGTAGAGCCGGCCCTGACCGTGAGGCACTGCTTAGGTGAGTAAAGACACACTAGAACCTTAGGGTATTTACCCTACATAGCTCTCTACGTGCCCAAATAATGCCTCCCCCATCTCCACTGCTATTTTTAAGGGTAGTGTCCCGTGTCCTCCCTGTGCAGGAGCCTTTCCCCGACGCAGGGAAAGGCTCAGTAGCGGGGAAAGGCTCTGGCAGCGGGGAGCTGCGGGAACCTTTCCTTTCTGCCTCCCCGCTGCCAGAGCCTTTCACTGCTGCATGTAGCGACACGCCACACTGTGGACGCAGCCTGCTTTTCACGGTGGCTACTCGTACCCTACACACTGCTGCCAATGTAGACAAGGCCTCAGAGATGTTGTGTAGAAAGTAGCGACAAGATTTAAATGTGGCCTAGATGTGCGGGTCTAGAGAGATATTGAATTAAAAGGGAAGGCCCAGAATACGCACTAGAGAGGATGGTGATGTCATCCACTATGACCAAGGGAAGAGGGAGGAGGTGGGGTTTGGAGTTCACTAAAATCCATGCACCACATATTTAATTCCTCAATCAATGGCAGACCAGCTAAACCCAATGGTGTCACTTTCTCTTGCTGCAGAAGAGGACTTTGTGATTGTACTGTATGATTTCGCCTCCACGAGTGACCGCGACTTGGAGCTGACCAAGGGAGAGAAGCTTCAAATCCTATCTAAGTAAGTGATCCCCCTCCACAGCACTTGCCAGCCCCTGCTGGAGAAGTCTTTACAAAATACCGTGGGGCTCCGGAGATCTGGGTTCAGTGCTTGGCTCTTCCAGGCCTACTCTGTGGTCTTGGGAAGTCACTTGGTTCCCTATCTGTAGAACAGAGATGATAACACATCTTTAGTCAATTGGGTTTGTATGGACAGCACCCAGCAATGTGGCTTTGCTGTGAGTTGATGCTCATAGGTGCTGAAGTAGTATAAATAATGACTTGTCAGCACATAGGCTGATCTTTGCCTTAAAAAGGATGTGGGTTTAGTTTGTTTTAAAAACTTTTGTGTGACCATAGTCCTGGTGAAAGAGAGCCAGCCCTGAAACGGACACCAGGTGTTAATAACATTGCAGGCTTTCCTTGCATTCATAGAACATCATGGTTGGAAGGGACCTCAGGAGGTCATCTAGTCCAACCCCTTGCTCAAAGCAGGACCGATCCCCAGACAGATTTTTGCCCCAGATCCCTAAATGGCCCCCTCAAGGATTGAACTCACAACCCTGGGTTTAGCAGGCCCTCCCCCTACCATGTGACTTTCCACTCTCCCAGTTAGGGATTTGTGGTGAGAGAGCTGTTCATTAAGTGTTAGTCCATAACCTCTCTGTGAGGCTCTCACAAATGGGGTTAGTGATGCTGGTAGATATTTCTGATTCAGACACCTGCCCCCTGGGCTGAGACCACTCAGCTGGGTACATGTTGGCTCCTGAACATCCAGGGGATGAGAACAGCTTTCAGTTACTACCCCGGTAGTGCTGTGGTTTCTGAAGGCACTCGGAGTGACCAAAGCAGAGAGATGCCTCATGTGATAAAGGAAGCAGCAGTGAGGAGCAGATGGGGAATTGAAGACAGTGCTCGGGTCTCTGTCTGGGAGTTTGGGGCTGAAGGTGGGAAGTGAAAAACACCCACTTGTTCAGGGTTGAATAAACCAGTGTCTTTAAAGGTTGCCTTTCTAGACTGCCTTCAAACTGGGGGTGGCCTATAGGAATGAGCGTCTGTGGGTCTGTCTACACTGCAGCTGGGAGGTGTAATTCCCAGCTCGGGTAGACATACCTGCGCCAGTTCTGATCAAACTACTGTGCTAAAAATATCAGGATGGCCCCACGGCAGCATATACCTACGATCTCAGACCGGGTTGTACTTGGGCAGCTAGCCCAAGTCACCGCCAGTGCGGCTGCAGGCACACAGCTATTTTTAGCACGCTAGCTTGATCACCTCCCAGCTGCAGTGTAGACACACCCTGTGGTGCTACCTGTAGAGTACAGGGCTACCTGCATGAGAGAGGGCTTCAAAACGTGCTTCCTACTTTGCAAGGTTCATGAAGCCTCCAAATCCATGAGTCGTCTTAGGCGGGATCCATGTCGAAGCTCCTTTCGGTGTTCATGCTTCTTGTCCTGTTTGGTTTGTAGAGATGGGGACTGGTGGCTGGCAAAGTCTCTCACCACTGGAAAGAAGGGTTACGTCCCCAGTAACTTCGTCGCACAGATGGATACCTTGGAAGTGGAAAAGTAGGTGCACAAGCTTATATGAAACATGAACGCTAATATCAATGCTTTGTATTGATACTAGCCCCTCCGAGGGTTATTATAAATATAGGAGTAGGAAGGGCTGACAATAGGAATTGTTTCAACCGTCACCGAAATGCAGCCACAGCTGTGCTGGAAGGTGACAGCTGTTTCACAGCCCACAGTAACACGACACACCAATTTAGGAGAGGATGTGGAGTTTAAAATGCAGAGTGTTTTAGGGGATTGGAATTGCCAAGAGGAATTTGGCCAGAAGACTAATAAAAATACTGATACTGTTCCCTATCTTTCTAATGGGAAGATTGAATTCCTAATATCTTCATATCCTTTAAATACCAGTGAATTAAAGGGCTCAGAGAAGGTGCAAATGGAGTTTCTAGTGTGGGAGAAAGGTAAAAGGCAGCATTCAATTTCAATTTGGGAGGAATTCAATCCCTTAACATATCTGCAAACAGTAACAGCTTAAAAGGGATACACTCTGTAATATAATGCCATATGATTATATAGCAGCTTTGGTCCCAAAGAATTCCAAAGGAGACTACAGTGGGTACAGTTTAAAAAAAGGTCATTCCAGTTTAGGGTGACTGGATAGCAAGTGTGAAAAATCGGGATGGAGGTGTGGGGGGTAATAGGCACCTCTACACCTCTACCCCGATATAACGCGACCCGATATAACACGAATTCGGATATAACGCGGTAAAGCAGTGCTCTATGGGGGGGCGGGGCTGCGCACTCTGGCGGATCAAAGCAAGTTCGATATAATGCAGTTTCACCTATAACGCGGTAAGATTTTTTTGGCTCCCAAGGACAGCGTTATATCGGGGTAGAGGTATATAAGACAGAGCCCCAAATATCGAGATTGTCCCTATGAAATCGGGACATCTGGTCACCCTACTCCAGTTTCAGAGATATTCCTGATTCCAGTGATATGCTGTCTATTTGCATATACTTGCATATACAGCCATCCCTCTGCTCACCACTGAAAAACCTTTTCCTGGGGCAGAACATGACAGCTCTTTAACAGCCCAGCGCCATGTGACTTACTAAGCTAGAGAAGTGAAGATGTATCCAGCTGAACCTGCAAAAGAATATATACAGGCTTATCCCTGGGATATACATTCACACTGATATTTGGACACAAAGTGAACAGAAGTCTGATCCTAATCTCTTGAAAATGTTATGTTAGGGGACTCTTCCCAACCTAAAACCATCCTGAAATGTAGTCAGTCTTAGACAGAGGAACAGCCAACCTAGGACTGAAAGCGACTGTTTGGGTTGAGTCCAGTCCCCTGCTATCACAGACAACCACCTCAACTAATCCTGTTCATCAACCTATCAGCTCCCTCTTAAAACTAGTGAGGTTGTTTGCCCTCACTACTCCTATAGGAAGGCTGTTCCAGAACCTCACTCCTCTGATGGTCAGAGAGCTGCTTCTAATTTCCAGCCTGAATTTAATCATGGCCAGTTTATCCCCATTGTCCTTTCACTTAAATAGCTCTTCTCACTCCCCCAATGTATTTCTAAAGAGCAATCATGTCCCCTCATAGCCTTCATTTTGCTAGGCTAAACACAACACTAAGCATTTTAATGGCACAAAAGTGAACAGCTGGGTAGGATTTGCCTCTTCTTGGAGCTCTTTATAACTATTTCATGACTTTTCTCCCTCAGATGGTTTTTTAAAGCTCTCAGTAGAAAAGATGCCGAACGGTTGTTGATGGCTCCTGGCAACAAAGTCGGGTCTTTCCTTGTAAGAGAGAGTGAAACAAATAAAGGTAAGATTCGGGAGGTGGGTGGCTTCTGATTATTGCCATTGCTGAACAAACCTCCAAAGATTTCAAATTAGAACCCCCGCAAATGTGGCTGCTTCTCCTATAGTTCTACACTCTTGAAACCTACTGGAGCTGTACCAACCTAGACAGATTAGATTAGATACAAAACGTCTGCAAAACTGGGCCCTAATTTCATGAGATCAGATTTTTCTCACAAGATTTCTTGCATTTCCAGTTCCGGTGCCTGGGTGTGGGTGTGGAAATGATGGCTACCCGCAGAACAGCCCCTGGCATATTTTGTGTCAAAGATGTGGGTAGTGCAAGAGGGAGTGGTGGTCAAAACATTTTCCATAGAATCATTGTTTTTCTCTGATGGAAATGGCTTTTTTGGCAAAATGGACACTTTTGTCAACATTTTTCATAGAGCGTTTGGGTTTTCAACCAAAACTCAACCCATTTTGAAGAACATTTTGATGAAAAGAATTTCAGTTTTGTGGAATTTTTTCACAGGAGGAAAAAATCTTTTCCCCACTACCTTTAATGGGGGGAATTGATCCAAATGTTTCAGAGCCTCTGAAAGGCTTGATTCTGTGCATGGACATACATTTGGGCTGGGGGAGAAAGGGTAATTCACGAGCTTTCTGAACTGATTCACCCATCCCTAGTTATTAATTTTCACATACACACCAACGCGCACAGGTGTTGAGGACTCAATCAGATATAGATGGAAGGGAGGAATCGCTGAAGTAAACAATTGTAACCCACACATCTCCTGGATGTGGTGTTCTGTCCCCTCTAGTAGCACCGAGACCACTTAGAGATTAATGAGTTTGCTACAGCCTTAGCTAAGGGCCGCGTACCTTTTAGCTCACGCAGTAGTGGCTCATGCATTTAGTTCCAGAAGTCCCAGGTTCGATCCCGACCGTGGTCTGTCAGTGTTACATAATCTTTTGCGTGTATGTAACTGTTAAGATCTTGTTTCTTTGTGCTGCACTGTTAGAGGTTATGTCTCAAGGTTGCCCCTTTGGGATGAAGGCAGGCGTTTATACAATATTCCCTGGGTGACAGCATTCCTGTGGGCCAGTCCTGGGGTACGGCCCTCCAGCTGTACCTCTTAGCAAGTCCACCCTCTTCCAGGAGAATATAAAACAGTCCAAATAAAAAGGCAACTCGTCCCAAGGCCCACAAGGAGCCAGGCCCCTCCCTCACACAAAGGAAGGGAAGCTCTCTCTCTGGCTCCACAGGAAATCTCAGCTCCCGTTCTCCTCCATGGCCACAGGCCAAGAGATAGTCTTGGGGATGTCAGTAAAAGAAACAAACCAGCCTGCCTTCTTTTCTCAGAGGGCGCTGGCAGGTGGTGCTGCCAAGCTGTTCCTCAGCAAAGAACCCCACGCCCTAGCCCTTGTCTACACTACAGAGTAATTCAGTATAATTTACGTCACTCAGGGATGTGAATAATCCACACCCTAAGCGGCATAAATTACACTGACCTAAGCGCTATATTGGCAGGCGAGCTTCTGCCGCTGACATAGCGACCACCTCTTGCAGAGGCAGGAATTATTAAGCTGATGGGAGAGCTCTCTCCCGTCGATTTAAGAGCATCTTCATCACAAGCGCTACAGAAGCACAGCTGCATTGGTGCAGCTGCGCCGTTGGAAAAGATGTAGTGTAGACGTAGCCCTAGTCTGGGAGCTCTAGCTCTGCTTGTTTCAGAGTGTAATCGCAACTGGGCTGTGCACCTCCCCTTTAAGGGCCCACCCCTGGGCCTGACAAGCCATGCAGCTGCAGCGGGTTGGGCTGATTGTGACCACAGAGTTCTTTAAGCCCTTCTTGACTGGTGTGTGTGTGTGGGCGGGGGGAGGTTCTCTGCCCCATCACATACGCCTTTACAAATTTAGGAAGTGTGCTGTCTGCAAAGTCCAGCAGCCATTTTGTGTTCACTTCAGGACAGAGGATTACCAGAAAGTCGCAGACTGGGTTCTCCAAAGGGGACTTTGTTTTTGTTCTTTCTTGTTTTATGGTTCTTGCCTCCATCAGCATAGAAGATGGAAGTCTACTTGGTCATAGAGGAAAGGTGGTTCAGTGGCTTAGGCTCTAGCCTAGGACTTGGGAGAGGTGGTTCATGTCTAGGGTGACCAGACAGCAAATGTGAAAAATCGGGAGAGGGGGTGGGGGGTAATAGGTATCTATATAAGAAAAAGCCCCAAATATCGGGACTGTCCCTATAAAATCGGGACATCTGGTCACCCTATTCATGTCCTTGATCCACACAGACTGCCGGTGTTGCTTTAAACATGTCATTTAGTTTCTCTGTGCTCCTCGGTTCCCCATCTGTAAAATGGGGACAGTAGCATTTCCTTACCTCCCAGTATCTTAGATAGACAGATAGAGATTTGGAGTGTCCCCTGCAGTGATATGAAAAGCTACTAACCTCTCCTCATTGAAATCCCTCTTGAATGCCCACTTCTACAATGTATTATCCATAAGAACGGCCACACTGGCTCAGACCAATGGTCCATCAAGCTCAGTATCCTGTCTCTGACAGTGGCCAATGCCAGAGGCTTCAAAGGGAATGAGCAGCACAAGGCAATTATTGGGTGATCCATCCGCTGTCGTCCAGTCCCAGCTTCTGGCAGTCAGGGGCTTAGGGGCACCTGGAGTATGGGTTTCCATCCTTGACCATTTTGGCTCAGAGCAGTTGATGGACCTATGCTCTATGAACTTATCTAATTCTTTTTTGAGCCAGCTAGTAAAAGCTTGGGGGAGGGGCAGCTGGCCTAGATGCTTAATTTTTTTTAAAGTGCTTGTATGTGAGCGCAGCTTTCACCAACTTTCATGTGTTTCTCTTGTACCTTTAGCAAGGAAGCTCTTCAAACAGGGACTGTCCCTTTCTCTGTGTGGCCAGTCCCTAGACATATTGTGGGCCCCACCATTACATAACAATAGTTTGGGTGACAAGCTCTCTTTCCAGCTCACAACACTAATGAGAGGAGTTGATTAGATGTGCCATTCTCAGGCAAAGAAGATCTTACCTTGCTAAGCAGGGAGAGCAAGTTACTTGAGAAAAGAAGACTGGGCGGGGACTTGATAACAGTTTTCAAATACGTTAAGGGCTGTTATAAAGAGGAATGTGATCAATTGTTCTCCATGTCCACTGAATGTTGGTCAAGAAATAGGCTTCATTTGCAGCAAGAGAGATTTAGGTTAGATATTAAAAAAAAAAACGTCCTAACCATAAGGGCAGTTAAGCTCTGGAACAGGCTTCCAAGGGAAGGCTGTGGAATCCCCATCAATGGAGGTTTTTAAGAACAGGTTGGACAAACACCTTTGGGGTGGTCTAGGTCAGTGGTTTTCAACCTTTTTTCATATGCAGACCCTTAAAAATTTTCGAATGGAAGTGCGGACCCCTTTGGAAATCTTAGACATAGTCTGTGGACCCCTAGGGGTCTGCGGACCACAGGTTGAACCCCACTGCCTTTGCGCGGGGGAGTGGACTAGATGACCTTTTGAGGTCCCTTCCATTTCTATGATTCTATGTATCTATGCCAAAGCCCCTGTGTTTGAAGCAGAGTGACAAACTTTTTTTCTAAACATAAAACCATGCCTTTCCCCACTCAGTGGGGACTTACTGAGTTGGCTCTAGCTAGGTGGTTTCTTTGTACAGAGATCTGTGACATCCAGAACTTCAGGCTTATCTAGGGCAAGTTCTGAGACAGGAAAATCTGAAAAAAAGCGCTTAAGAGTTTCACCTCAGAGAGCCACTCAGTAACATTACTATTGATTCTGCGGCTAGCAGGATGTGGTCCCTTTAAGCAGGCCAGGAATAGACTAGCGATGTCGCCACATGCCTCGATCACTGTTACTTCCGTCCTCTCTTGCCCACTCTTTCCTTTTGTTTTTTATACACATTATTATAGAATCATAGGACTGGAAGGGACCTTGAAAGGTCACCTAGTCTAGTCCCCTGCCCTCATGGCAGGACTAAGGATTATCTAGACCATCCCTGACAGCTGTTTGTCTCACCTGCTCTTAAAAATCCCCAATGATGGAGATTCCACACAGGGCCGTCCCTAGCTATTCTGGGGCCCTACGCAGCCCCCCGACGTGGGGTGGGGGTCAGGCCTCCACAGGGGGGAGCTGGCTTGGGGGACGGGGGGAACCACCCCGCAGCACTCACTGGCGGTGCGGCTGGGGCCAGGTTGCTGCACTTCCCGCTGCTGGTGAGTGCAGGCCTGGCCCTGCTGCAGTCCTCAGGGGTGGGGCGGGGCGGGGCGGGGGCAGAGCAGGGTGGAGACTTTCAGGAAGGGGTGGAGTAGGGGCATGGCTGGGGCGGAGCAGTGGCAGGAAGGGGTGGGACTGGGGCGGAGCAGGGGCAGGGTCTATGGGGAAGAGGCGGAGCAGGGGCTGGAGCAGCACGCAGCTGCACAGGGGCACCAGGAAATGTGGTGCCCCAAATTTCCTGGTGTCCTACGCAGCTGCATACTTTGCGTATGGGTAAGGACGGCCCTGATTCCACAACCTCTGTAGGCAATTTATTCCAGTGCTTAACCACCCTGACAGTTAGGAAGTTTTTCCTAATGTCCAACCTAAACCTCCCTTGCTGTAATTGAAGCCCATTGCTTCTTGTCCTATCCACAGAGGTTAAGGAGAACAATTTTTCTTCCTCCTTCTTGTAGCAACCTTTTATGTACTTGAAAACTGTTATCATGTCCCCTCTATCTACGCTTCTCTGGATTAAACAAACCCAATTTTTTCAGTCTTCCCTCATAGGTCATGTTTTCTAGAACTTTAAACGTTCTTGTTGCTCTTCTCTGGACTTTCTCCAATTTGTCCACATCTTTCCTGAAATGTGGTGCCCAGAACTGGACACAATACTACAGTTGAGGCCTAATCAGCGCAGAGTAGAGTGGAAGAATTACTTCTCATGTGTTGCTTACAACTCCTGTTAATACATCCCAGAATGATGTTTGCTTTTTTTGCAACAGTGTTACACTGTTGACACA